TAAAAGCAACAGGCAAACCGTGCGTAGAGCCGCCCGAGCGACCCCGCACTGTTCAGCGGAGACTTTCTGAGTGGCTCTGTGGTCACTAGCTGGGCGAACACGCCGGGCCATCGTGGCTAGCACTGCTTTGGAGAGCGGTGGCAAGGCAGGGAGCGGGATCTGGCTGTTTCTGGGGCGTTCTGCAAAGCGTGGGACTCTCGGTCGCGGCCGAGAGCTGCGCTCAGGTATGCATTTGCATTATGAGGCCACTGTACGCCATCAAAGCAACGTTAAAATGGTAGTAATACTAAAGTTACCCAGAAATACAACCCGAATCCTGGTTTTCTCTTTGCCCTTCCTGCCCAGCATACTCCAGCAAGATAATACCAAGCCTAATGGCTTAGCTCAGAGAAGGGCGCTTGCTGTATCAGATAAAATTCAGCTATTCCTGGCATTAATTACATTAGCTATAAACATACAGGACACCAGGGACAGCTTTTGCAGGAGCTGCACGTCTGCTGCAGCGACAGAGGCCAGTCCTTGTTTACTCTGGGCATCAGGACAACCGAGCAAATTGTGGCTGGTGGCAGAGACCCCCTTCGCCTGGCAGACCTTGCAGGGATTCATCACGGCACGGGAGGACTGAGCAATGCACAAATGAGCAGGAGAAACTCAGATCCTGGTGCCTGACTCCTTTTACACGGTTTTAATTTTGATGTTAGCAAGTAAATGAATCATTTTAATCTGATTCACCCAGAAACTCATCTTAAAGCTGAACAAAAACATGGACATGGGTTCTCATCTGCTCAGACCCACCAAAACACGAGATGCTGAACTCCTCCTTTCCTTAATCCCTGATGTGGAACGGGATCATGCCAGGTTGGCAGCGCTGGCTACTGGGAGCTCAGCGCTCTGATGGTCAGTGGTCACCCTCAGTGGTGGTGGTGACACTTTATAGGGTCTGCAGTGGAACACAGCACTGTTTTAGCTCACGAGGAGCAGGAGTCAGGACACTAGCCAGTTTTCAAAGTGCCTTATGGTAATTCTGAATTCCTCAGGGGAATGGGAAGACCATTTTAAGATGTACTGACCTGAACTGTCTCCCTCCTACCATCTGCCCTCTACTTAGAGAAGGCAGGTAGGGAGGAAGGAAGATCCTAAGAGAACAATTTTCTCTGCAGGAGGAAGATGTCCACGTGAAAATCCATTGGCATTTGGAGAACATATCCCTAAACATATCCCTAAACATCCCTAAACATCCCTTGGAACATATCCCTAAGTAACACCACTTAGTTTGATCAACTCATTTCAAAGCCTCGGCTCTGCTCACAGTTGATGAACCAAACCAAGCGGTGAGGTACCTCCCGCCTCTCCCCGGCAGCAAAAATCATTACAAAATTGCAATACCCCAACGCCGCTAAAAAGAAGCGAGTCCTGTTGCCAGAAGTCTGCATATACTCCTTGAGGTCACCAAATCCATAAACATCATCTCGAATGAGTGGAAGAGGAATGTTATATTACCTCTATTACAACAGGGAGACAGAGCGCAACAGCCTCTGCCAATACACTATGTTTTTGTGGGTCATGGGAAGGTTTTATTTCTCTCTTAGAGCCTCAAATCCCTGTTTTAAGACAACCCAGGGACACACAAGGATGCGTTAGAGCCGCTCCTTTTACTTCTCACCTGATCTGTATTTTGAGATGGCGTCTTAAAAGAAGGGCAAACGTAATAAGCCAGCTACAGGACTGTTTATAACTCTCTGTCAGGTCTTTGATTTGGGCCAGCAAGGAAGCTTGTTAGATTCGATAAAGCAACTTAGCATCTCTGGAAAAGGCTATTGAAAGAACATGAAACAAATGAAAAGCTGGGAGAGACTTAATGGTAAATACATGGCCTGGCAGTTCAGCACAGCTACATCCTGTTTGTCGTTATTATTTAATACTGGCATCGATTGTTCGAAGGATGAGACAGACCAGGCAATTCTCTGTGGGGATTTACTCAAATACCATTTCACTTTGAGATTACACAAGCCCACAAGCTTGGATCACACTGTCTTCTTGGGAAATTTTAATTAATTGATTTAATGTCGGGGACTACTGTGGTCAAGTAGTAAACAACACCTCCCTGATCACCTCCGTGGACAAACCAAGTCCCTGCTAGCTATCAAGCAGTGCCCAACTCCAGGTTAGAAGCAGCGCACCACTGACCTGCTCCTCCAGAACAACAATTGTACACCTACCATCCCACGTGCTGCTAGCATAAGCTGTTGGTTTGGAAACAGCTACTGGCTCAGGCTCTTTGGTCTTTATATTAAATTTTCTGAGTGCCCAGAGGCCCAGAACCGTTTACACCAGCTCTCCACAACAGTGACGCATGGATATGAAGGGAAGACTGGAGAGTAATTATTTCCACCATTGTCACGTTAGTGGCTTCTCTTTAATAGCAGAACAAGGCTAAACTCAAGATGCTCAGAGGGCTGGAGCCCCTCTGCCATGGGGACAGGCTGGGAGAGTTGGGGGTGTTCAGCCTGGAGAAGAGAAGGCTCCGGGGAGACCTTATTGCAGCCTTCCAGTGCCTGAAGGGGCTACAAGGGAGCTGGGGGGGACTTTTTACAAGGGCCTGTAGTGACAGGACAAGGGGTAACGGGTTTAAATTGAAAGTGGGGAGGCTTAGATTAGATATCAGGAAGAAATTCTTCCCAGAGAGGGTGGGGAGGCACTGGGACAGGTTGCCCAGAGAAGCTGTGGATGCTCCATCCCTGGGAGTGTCCAAGGGCAGGCTGGATGAGGCTTGGAGCAACCTGGTCTAGTGGAAGGGGTCCCTGCCCATGGCAAGGAGGTTGGAACTAGATGATCTTTTAAGGTCCCTTCCAACCCAAACCATGCTGTGATTCTATGATTCTAAGTACCTCCATCAGGTATGTGGCAGCCAAGATGGCAAAACTCAGTTCATAGAAAGGGAAGGTGATTTTTAAGACTGATTTCACCCACACGTTCTTTCACACTCACATTCTCACACACATATCCAAGTGGTCTGGTGAGGACTGCCTATGGTGAGACAGAGAAGTCCTCCTCGTGCCTCCATGATTCATCCTGAGTGATGCAGACACCGTGTGATATTTAATCTGTCTCAATACAGGCAGCTCCAGGGCTGCATCACACTCTTGTCACTCCACATCTGCACTGCGTTCTTATCCGAGGTACAGCCTTGCTGCCACCAGCACACATTCCTTCTGCTACCACATTCCCCTCTGCTCTCAGCCTCCTGAACTGCAGCCCATACATTGTTCTTAGCCATGATGATTTCCACACAGAACCATCTGTCTTCCAAAGTTCTCCGCAAGCACTGCTCACTCCCCACAGACACCTAGGTATGTAATACCTGCTTGATATACAGAGCAAACAAAAGGGCGATTGGGCCAGCAGTTTATTCCTAGGTTGTCCCTGGCAATGAAGGTCCCTTTACGTAGACCAGATAAATTGTCTTACAAACAGCCTACTGACTGCTGGCCGGAAATCTGTGGCTACATGCATCGATTCCCAACCTCCACCTGCCTTTACAACTAAGCGTTACCCTTTCCACCACCTAACTCTTTTCCTCGGAGGCAACTGCCAGGAGTTTGGAAGCAAGGTCATGGCAAAACGAAACCAAAACAAACCAAAAGAACGATGGAAAGATGAAGATGGAATACCTTGGAGCTGGGGAAGCTTCCTTCCTTGGTTTGGAGGTGGGCAGCACCCTGGGCCGGCAGCAGCAGGAAAGGATCGGCAGAGAGTGCAGCTGAATAGCTGGGAGCATGGCTTTCTCTCCCTGAGACTGAGCAGCTGTCCTGGACCTGGATGTGGGGCAAAACTGCAAGGGAACAAGAGGGAGGACGGAAAGCAGCTACTTTCCATTTTTTACAGGTTCGAACAAGCGTTTGTGTCTTTGTCTTAGAGCAGATGTGAAACCAAGCCTGTCTGTCTTTAGAAGGATTCAGCTCTCTCTCAAGAGTCAAACAAACAATTTCTCAACAGCCATTTTTATTGCTTTGGATGACACACCACCGGAGGGAAATAGTTTTCTGCCATTCTTTAGCTTCTTTCTTTACCAGAGTAAGTAAATCCCCTGGGACTACTGATACAAGGTAAATGGTTAATTTTGCACCCAAACTGACAAGGCAAGTCAAAAGAGTTGAACATTCCCCAAAGCAGACTACTCGTGAAGAACGGCACCACAAAACTGCCCAAGTACCCACTCAGGGGAGTAATTAACTACCAACCGCACGGAGAACGAGTTCTTAGAGCCATCGCTAACGAGACCGAAATGTCTGTGTCTCAAGATGACACAGCAGAGGTTCAGGCTTGGAAGTGGCAGCAAGGTTTAGTTCAAGCCAAGAATAATCAACAAAAATCTTTCCATTCATTCCAACGGGCTTTGGCTAAGGGCCCTCCCGCACGCGCACACACACACAAACCCTTCACAACAGCCAGAAACGGTGTCCTGAACACCTTCCACTCCCAGCTCCTGCCACTGCCCAGCCTCCACCTACAGAATAAATATCCATGGCTTTAACAACGAAGAACAGTTACTTTCCTTCATGTGATACCTCCAGAAAAGTGCTACGTCTCTGAATTATACCGACTTAAAATGATATACTGCTCTAGTATTTTAAATACAATAAATAGAGCATGAGCTGAGTGCAACTTCACTTGCAAGTTTTATGCTTTTTTTAGGAGACGCACTAAATTTAGTAATCAAAATTGCCTCCAACAGTATTCGACGAAAAACTAGTAAGAAGTTATAAATAAAATCACATCCTTCAAAGATATCCCACGCACTTCTTCTCTCCACATTGCACAGAGAAGCAGAGTGTTCCTGTGAGCATATGGAGCGAAGACAAACGAGGAAGCTGAAAATTACCTAACAATAAAAAGCAAAACCATACAAGTTAATGCTACATACCCTCCCATAAACAGCCTGTTTCCTACATTTAATCTTGGTGCGTACAACCCAGTTCTATTTCCCCCCGCCCTCCCCTTCAAAAAACAGTTCCAGGAGGAACATCTTGCAAGATATGGGTTGATTCATCTTCATCTTGCTCCTTTTTACTGCAGAGTGGAAAAGATTCTTGAACAAACTGCCTACATATTGGGCAGTGCTGAAAATACTTGATGCAGCCATCACACAAGCACGTGTGCCTGCAGGGTAGGAGGGCCCAGTTCACTGTGCCATTCTGGCAAATAACACAGTCTTTACTGTTTTCTTCATGCAATTCTGGTTCATCTTCAGCCAGTCCGGCCTTTTCCAGCAAGGTTCTGTCAGTACTTCTCTCAGCAGGGGATGTATCGCTTGAAGACAGTCCAGTACTACTTGCAGACATGAAGAGTTGCTAAAATACACACATACACAGACATTTAGAAGGCAACAAACCCTCCCCTGATACCTGAACACACACACACGTGCGATGCAAGCTCCACTGGGTCAGATTCACCAGTTTCCACTGGGGCAAACAGTGCCAGGCTCACTCTGTGTGAGTCCTGACAGCCGCCTGGCCTTCAGCTGAAGGTATTGCAGAAGCATAAAATTCCATAAACCACTGGGAAAATAAGGCCTCAAAAGTCTTAGCTGAATCAAATCAGTGTATGTGCATGAACTTTAACAGAACTGCCCAGGTTTTGAGCAGCTCGGGTTTCGGGTATATCTGTGCTTGGAGGGAAGCTGCTATCTACTACCAAAAATACATCCACCAAGTAGTCAAATCTGCTTCACTCAACCCATTCAGCTCCTGCTCATAATACAATCCCCTACTCCTTTTTGTCTTATTTTAAGTGCCAATTCTTCCAGGCACGATCTCTGAATAGAGCCAGTAACCCCCCATGCAGCCAGCGATGCCCACAGAGCGCACACGGCTCCACTACATAAAGTGCCGCTGCACAGTCGGTGCCGTGCAGTTTAAGCAGCGTTTTTACAAAGGCAACCCCCACACAAAAAGAAAACCTACTGGGAAGAACAGAGAAGTTCACCTGGATCAATTATGTCAGCAAAAAATGGCCAGGACAAACATTTCTTTGGACAAACCTATTTCTGAATGAATGCTAATTGAGTCAATTCAATTAATTTGGCCCAATTTCTAGCTTATCAATACCACACGTTATTTTTATTATCACTGTAATAGAAGAGTGAATCGCACAGAATCACATCAGCTGCCTGACAGACACAGGACAAAGATGGTCCCACAACACACACAGGTGAGGGAAACTGGAATGGGATAACGAGAACGTTGGTTTAACTTATAGTAATTCCTAACTTTTACAAATGTCTTGCAGTAAAAAGGAATTTTAAACCAAAAAGTTTCTTCTGAGGCTTTCCCAGTTGAAGGGCAGTAGAGGGGAAAGTGCTCATTTGAGAGATTAGCAAGGAGGGAACGTGTTCTGCAGAGAGGAAGCACTCGACAGCTCATTAAAGCCTTACTACTGCTTTAATAAGCAGACAGCACCAAGGCCTCCAGACCACCATCAACCAATTTCTCCAAGCAACCTTGAATACTGTCATACCAATTATTTCTGTGCAGTAACTTGGGTTGGAACTACTTAATTGAGAAACTAATTTTAACTATTATCCGGTTCTTTGCACGACAGTAAGTGTCTTACACTAATTTAGGCTGCTGAAAGCCTACACAAACCAAGCTTAACGCTGTCACACAAATGAAACGAGACTCAGCACGTATCTTACCTTCAGATTGTGGTATTGACCTTGAGCTAGAAGCAGATACTGATATAATATTCTGCAGGAAAGTCTGTAGCTCTCATCAGGAATGTGAATTACAGCCACCATTGAAATCTATCAAAAGAAGAATGCCATGTTTAGTAACTTCCCTTTTCTCTACAGGATTCAACAGAACAGCTTGCGTGAAAGATCACCGACTTTGGTACAACCTCCGGCCTGCTGATTTCCTCAGACAACCGGGACTTCAACAGTGCTGACTTCCAGAACAGATCAAAAAAATATGCTGGACAAGGTAAAAACAGGATCCGGCACAAAATAGCACTTTGTGACCCCTCAGCTTTCTGCCCCGGTTCTCCAAGGAGCCCTTCAACGTCCAGTTTACAGCAGGCATCCGCTCCGACTGCTCTCACCTAATGGAATCAGGCCCCAAATCAAAAAGGCACCTAAGCACATGCAGTCCTGACATGCTTATGCAGCTGAAGGACTTGCTTACAGTCACGGACGGGCCTTGGAGAGGCAACCTGCGTCATGAGTTCAACCAGGCGTAGCAGCTCCTACGTCTAGCAGCTCTGTCCACTCCACTAACTCCTCCTTGAAGGTGACAAACCACAAGGAGTTTCCCACAGGAACCGAGCCCATGGGAGCCCATGCACTGAAGTCCCATCCGACGCCTGCAACCGCATCCCGCTCTGTCTTCAGCACAAGAAGCGACCCTGCCAGCTGATGTCCGAGTGCGGAATTACAGGGAAACAGGTAAAAGGGAAAGTCTTCTCTACTTTCTCCCACGTCCCTCACAAACACACAGACCACAGCCTTGCGACTAGGAAAAGCGTTTGGAAGTGTCGCTGACTGGCTTGTAAATCAAGTAGGCAAAAGACAAAATGTCACTGGAAAGGATCATGACAGGACCCCACGGGCTGATTTCAAGAGTCATTTTTCTGAAAATAAAAGCGCCCTGAGCTTGCACGCTGTGCCTAGTACTCCCCACCCTGCCCAAATTACCTAATAGCCTCTAAAAAGCAGGGAAAAAAGAAAGTGAAATTCAATATTATTGTAGTTCCCAGAAGCTGTCAGAAGAGAAATGAAATATAAAAGAAAGCTGTTTTGTATAAAAAAAAATTTAAAGGCAAATCAGCTTTGCACTTCAAAATCCACACGTGGCTAATTACATGTGGAGTTTAAATACATATGTACTTATACATATTTATTCACGCTAACTGAATTTACTATTCTTTGGCAATAAGGTCTTTATTTCTACAACACAATGCCTGAAAAAAACCCCAACCCACACCACTATTGGCTTTTGGAACCTGAAAGCCATTAAATCTTCGTTAAAAGGACAGATTTTCTGTTTTAATAATAAAAGTCCTCAGTGTATCTGTATGATGTCATCCCACTGTAACACAAGTGCCTTCTCAATGACGCGGCATGTCCTCAATTCAGACACCTAGGCCACTTTTTAACCGCGGGTGGGACCAGTTCCTAACACGCATCTTGATCTTCAGGCTATTGTCTCCCTCTTACGCTGCGCTGCAGTGCAGAAACATACGCAGTGAGACCATGATCTAGTAGAAATGCAATTACAGAACCCCTTCCTCTCGAGCACCAGGTATTTTCTCTCTCTGTAGATATAGAATCATAGAATCAT